GGGAGAGGAAGGCTCAGGTGGGTGAAATGAGCAGGGGAAGGACTGACCACACCCTGCTGACCCCCAGGGACGGTGTTCGTGGTGCAGTGGGACAAGGTCTAYCTGCAGGGCAAGGAGGACCTGGGCAGCTTCACCTTCCAGGCCGCCCTGCACAGCAGCGGCAGGATCGTTTTTGGCTACAAGGAGGTGAGAGGGGCTCTGGTGGGGTCCCCTCGGGGTTTTTTGTGGGGTTGGGAGTGGGGTTGGACACTCCTGGTGATGCTTTATCAATCAGGCTAATCTAAAATAGAGTTAAGAGAATGAGAATAGACAGCTTTAATCCAGGCCTAACAGCCCTACTGGTACATTAGGGCAGACAAAGCCTCCTCCTGAGGCCACACCCCAAATGGACACTGAGTCATGAGATCTTCACCTTTTATAAGTTCTGCCTTATTAAAATATTGGGTCTTAATTCTCCAATGATCTTTACAGGTGATGATGTCAACCACCCCAAACTTGTTCCCCTCCAACCCTCTGTTATTTCCATATTTTGGGGCTCTGAGGCAGTGAGGTGTCCTTGGATTCAGCTCAGAGAGGAATTGCTTTGTCTAAAGATGAGAGAATGCTAGTTTTTAGTGCTGTACTAGAAAAATACAAGAATACAGACGCATGAAAATATAGAAACAAAAAATCCTAAGGCATCAGTGGCAGCCTGGGGTGGGTCTGTCACCTCCTCTGTCCCCGTTGCAGATCCCGGTGCCGGTGCTGCAGATCAGCGCTGCCCAGCACCCCGTCAAAGCCGGGCTCTCGGACGCTTTCATGGTCCTCAACCCTTCCCCCGACGTGCCCGGTGAGTCCCTGCAGGAGCTGCCAGGGCAGGGAAGGGCTGATCCCGCAGGGAGAGGGGTGGGATCCTCACCTTTGGGGATTTCAGGAGGTGAGGATGCTCTGCTGGGTTCCCAGGGKGTGTGTGTGGGGTTTGGCTGCCCCTCGTGTTCCCCTTGTGTTGTTTTTGGGGTCTCTTTTTGGGATTCATCCCCCTCGGGTGCATCTCCCCATCCTCGTGCTCTGGGTGAGACTTTGCCCAGTTCAGGATCTCCACGAGCAGCCAAGCTCTGCTTTGATGAGGAAGAGGGGAAAAATCCCATTCTTATTAAATTCCAAATGAGACT